CAAAAAAAAACCAACAAAAAAACTTTCTAATATCTTAAAAAGACAGAAAAGCATATCAGAAAAAAGAGTTTGTATTGAATTGGTTGTCACCAGTGTTCAATCCCAAAATATTTTAAAAATAATATTTAAAAAGTTTGAAAACTTTTTCGTTTCATTGCGAAAAAATAAGATGAAGAATCCTGATTCTATATTAAAACGCATTGTCCTTTTTTTATTGGAAGTCCCGATGTATGCACTTCAATTGTAAAACGTCTTATAATATGAGAAATTGAGATTTCTTTGAAGAAGCGTTTTATAATTTGATGTTTCTATTTTCGAAAAGAGTAACAAAATCGAAAGATTTAATTTCTCTGTGATACAATTTATAGGCAATAAGTAAAAAGTACTTCCATCATTCCAAATTTCAAACTATCGAGCTACATGAGACGTTATTTGTTTAACAAGGAGACTAAATAAAGCGTGATATCGAAATATAGGATTTATATTTATTGCAATAATAGGTTCATTTTTATAAGCGCTTCATTAATGTTAGCTTGTGATTAATTTGGTTAATCTAAACAATAGTTTATAATAAAATGCATATAAACATTTAAATAAAAGCTAAATACATGTTTCCATCACCTCTGAAAATAGAAAGTTCCCATGAAACATTTCGTAAGACGAAAAATGAAGAAGCAATTTTTATTAATTTATTATGGAAAACATTCGAGTCTTCCTACACAGCGCAAAATATGTGAGATTTTAGCCCCTACTAACTATTCTGCAGAGATTGCCAAAAAGTATGACGAATAAAGGTTTATAGTAAAAACGAATGTCGAAAGGGTCGAAAGATATGAACTGATAGAACATAAACAACAATGCAACAATCCCATAGGATTTACAGACTATTACAATTTTTGTGAGTATGAAATCCCAGGAGTGACCCACTTTTGTAACATTTTTTAAAATTAAGTGAAGCTAATACTTCTCGACTAAACAAGAAATGTAGTAATTATTATTTTTAAAACTAGTATTTCCTTTAGCTTATTTCAGTTGCTTTTCATCATCACTACAAAAATGAATAATTGCCAATATTTCATTGAATACAAATTCTCGATAATA